GGGGAAAAACGAGAGAGAGAGAGAGAGAGAGAGAGAGAGAGAGATCAATTGAAATCTCGAGATGGTGGATTGCCAATGATCCTCCATTCGACACCTCCATGATAGTTTCGATAGATTTCAATTGTCTTTGCGAGAGGAGCGAGAATACGAGGACGATCCTTTGTTCAATTTATATTATATTTTATGAAATCCATTCAGAGATCGTTCGTGATTTAATTGGGCGATAGATGGACGAATCCGATTCGATTCGATTCGAATGTAGTCGAGCGTTTGTCGAGGCACGGATCGAGAGGAAAGACGATAAAAAGACTCGATCAATTTTCTCCCCGATTGCTCGATCGCCGGTCGAAACCGGACAAATGTCGCGTGCAGATTGTATAGACGCTCATTTATTTCGTTGCTGCTCACGAAATCGCCCTGCGATTCTCACTTAAACGATTTAAATAAAATAAGGATAGAGTGTTAGATATCGTCGGCGGCCAAAAGAATAAAATAAATAAATAGATCGTCGATTTCTCTTCGTGAGAAAGAAAAGAGAAGAAAGAGAAAAAGAAACCAAAAAAAAAAATAATAATAAAAAGTGAAAAAAAGGTATCGTAACTTCCATCGATCGAATTCTCGCGTGTCTGACGGCGACGCGTCAACGTCGTTTCTATTGTAAATACAAAAATGGGATTTCTATAAGAGAAAAGTATCCTTATCTCCCCACTTCGCTCTCTCCCCCCCGAACTACCGAATGCGAGATCGGTAATAAAACGAGGCGGCCAGGTCGATCCAGCTTGCGCCAGCTAGTTCGCATCGTTGTTCTCGAGGTCGAAGGTGAACGAGATCTTTGCGCTTCCGTGTCACGATTTGCTCACGATTTCGATCTTCGCGCGAATTACATTCGATCCTCTTCGACGATCATTCAATCGATTCCACGATCGTGCATAGAGACGATGATACGAAGCACTTTGTTTCACTTTTCTCTTTCTTTGGAATCTTTTCACCCGTCGAATTCCTCTCGAAACTTTTCCAATTATTGAATATACTCCTTGGTTCCAAAGAACGCTTTAAAGCTTTTTCGTTCAACTTTGAAATTTTAATTTTCTTCTTTTTTCTACACGCGTCGCGTAAGATCGTATCGGCGATCGTTCGACAACGCCTTACCATGTACGAGATACGTACTCTATACGTACGCTAGCGAGTCTCGAGGATTAATCTTTGACAAAGCGAATGAAAACGAAACGAAAGGAAAGGGAAAGAAGAGGGAAACGTGTGTTAAATTATACATTAAATCGCAATCGAGAGTTATCCAGCGATTCGATTAGCTTGTGATCGCGCCCTTTTTTTTCGACGATGCGATCTTTAAAATTAAACGAGACGAGGGTTATACGGTGTTCGAGAGTAAAGTGAAAAAAAAGAAAATAGCACGTACGAGTATCAAAAAAATCAAAAAAAAAAAAAAGAAAAAAAGGAAGATAGCAAATTAAAAAATAGAGAGAGGCAAGGAAAGCTGGAACGTTTACAACGATGCTTCGTATGTATAATATTTATTCTTTGCAATCACTGATGTAAATAAATGCAACAGTTTGAAAACGGTTGGCCGAATCGTTCGGTTGACGTCAACTTGATATTCTGTGCTTTGCCTCCCATCATTTTATCCGCCCTCTTTCTTTTGTTTTTATTTTTTTTTTTTTTAAACTGTTTATCAATTTATCTTCTTTCGCTCAAAAAAAAGTGGAATAAATATTTTTCGCTTCTTTCCGTTATCGGTTCTTGCTCGCGAGAATTTTTAATCGAAATTTATAACGAACGAAAATTCTTTGACAAAATTGTTAGGTTGATAAATTAATACGTCGAATATCGACGTTAATTATTAGAGCGACATCGTTGGTATAATATATATATATATATATATACACGAATGTTGCCATGTAATTGGACAATATGTCTTTATTATTTTGCACAACGATGCAACGTTACCGTCCAAATTGTCTAATGAAACATTACTCGATATCTGCAGAAATGTTTGAGTCAATGGTCAGGAAATACCGATTATTCCGTAATCAGCAATTCGCGATAACGACAATCGAGGAGGCCTCGTTTATTAAGACTTGACACGGGAAATTAAATAAATACTTATTCGGGTCTCTTTTGAATGGGATATTTATAGATGGAAGGTAAAATCGATTCGCGTTGATGATTCGATAATGTAAATGCGATGGATAGAAATAGCATCGAGATTAATTTACCATTAATTTACCATTCGCGTATGATAAATGCCTCGTGTAAACTGATATAAATACCCGTGTGAACATCATTCGAATGAGCTATTAACAACGATATCGCGTACCGCCTCCGTGTTACAAAATTATTATCGGTTATTCGGTTATTCTGTAGAATAATACATTTGTTTGAATTCGTGCTCGATAATCAGTTTCGTTTCGAACGCGAAGCGGTACAGTTTCGAGGGAGCGATGTTGCTCGAGATTTGGTTGTACGTGGTTATTTCAATTCTCTTTTCTTTTTATCTCGATATATTAAAATTCGTTGCAGATGAAACGATCGATATTACAAATGATCCGTAATAATTAAATATCATCGTGTTAAATAATATTTTGTTGCGCGTCAATTCGAAAGCTTGAACGCAATATCGAATGGTATTTTATCATTTTATTATAAAAAATAAAATAAAATAAAATAAAATAAAATAACGCAAGGAAATTCAGTTCGAGTTAAATCGTTTCTCTTATTAATTTCAACGAAATAGATAAAAATTGAAAACGATTTATCCATCTATTGATTAATTAAAATTTTTTATTGGCGAATATAAATGTTAAAAATGCGTGTGGAGGTATAATTAATATACAAATCACAATTTTAATTGTGATTTCGATTTCAATCTTTGCAATTAATTTAATTTTAATCAATTGCAATTTTAACAGATAGATTATATTTGATTAATTGAATCAAGCTTTGATCAATATTATTCTCTTATATGTATATATATATATATAAAATAACAAACATCGATAATTTTATCAAGAATTCGATCGTTCCATTTGCAATAATTTAACATATATACGTATATCACGAATATAAAGTTTGAATATTATCATTTCGTTTATTATTACACAGATTTTCTTTAATAATTTTCACCGATGCCAGATTGATCGATATTAGAAACGACTTACCAAGCTGTTCAACGAAGGAATGCAAAGACTTTGGTAAAGTTTTCAAAATTGAAAACTCGGCGAGAATGGAAAAGTTTTAAGGAAATACTTGTCGTTTTTTTTACGATATTAAACAGGTAGGAGGATAGTAACGAACATGAACGCCTCCGTGGATCCGTGCGTGGACTTTTATGAATATGCATGCGGCAATTGGCCGAGATCGCGTACACTTCCGCCTGATGAGAATCCCTGGCAAATGCGAGCCGCATCTGATGAAGAGAACAAACGAAAAGTCGAGGGTAAGTTTTTAACTTGTTGGCGAACTTGCGTTTCCGAAAGTTAACGAAAATTAACGATTTTCCAGACATGTTGAAGTTGGAATTGCGAGACGATGAAATTCTTTCCGTAAAAGTAGCGAAACAGTGGTATAAAACTTGCATGAATACAGGTAGTGATTCAAACAATTGGTTAAAACAATTGTTGAATTTTATTATATAAGGAAAGGAGCAAAATTAATTCGAAATTAAAAGAAATATTTATCGAAACGATGAATATTTTGATATGAAAAAAAAAAAAAAAGAAAGTACGAAAATATCTATTAATGGTTTTTTTTCCTTTTTTTTAAATTTTTCGATCCAATATACGAATATATATTTCCGAGTATTTTCTTAAATATTTTCGATCGATTGGAAAATAAGTTTTCGATGGGTGTTAGAGGATGCAAACAAACGAGGTATGGAGCCATTAGTGTCGATTTTGGATAAAATTGGTGGATGGCCGATGATAATGGAACGAAACGAGTGGGACGAGAGTGGACAGAAATGGCAGAATATAGACGATTATTACGCTCATTTAAGGGGATTGAATTTATTACACGATATCCGGGTCACGGCATATGGTAGAGGTTCCAAAGAGAGGAGCGTAGTGGTAAGTAATCGATTTTCGAACAATTCTCTTAGAATTATTTAAAATTCAGTTCGAAATTCAGTTGGACGTTCCTGATATGCCATTGTACTCGTGGATGCTGCGAGAATATTTCGACGCCGAGAATGAGACGATTAATAAGCAAGATTTTAGAAAGGCGGAAAAATATTGGGATTGGATTTCAAAAATAGCTTCGAGAACATCCGAGGCTGGAGGATTTAATATAACGAAGTCTCAGCTCGAAGAAGACATTGAGGATATATTTAGCTTCGAATGGAAGCTATTAAAGGTTTTTCTTTTTTTTTTTTTTTTTTTACAAGTTCTTTTTTAAGAACGAGACATTCCACAAATTTTATATTTGTGTAAAATTATCATTTTCTCCAGATAACTAGTTTAGTAGACGATTATGTAAATATGACCGTGGGAGATTTTCAGAGATGGTACGATAATTTAAACCCACGTACAGAAAACTCTATGGTGAGCAATTTGAAATTTATTTTCAACTTTTTCTCGAAAAATTCTTAATTCCATTTTTAAACGATAAAAAAGAGTACTCGTTACAGGTGAATTGGACAGATAAAATAATTAATATTTTTAAAGAATCGGGTATCGATATTTCAAACGATACATTGGTAAAAATAACTTCTCCCTGTTATTTCAAAAATTTAGTTCCTCTACTCGACCAGACTTCGACAAGAACTATAGGTAAGAGTAATTATACATTTTAAATTTGTCTTTCATATTTTGCATCTTGAACAGTAAATTTCCTTCATTGGAGCTTCGTGTCGTCGATGATCACGAGGACTACCGACGAAATGAGAGAATTGAATGCCAAAATGATGGAAAGCGATTCAGACGAGCAGGAATCTAGGTTCGTATATCGAGTTAATAAAACAACTTTCGTGCAACGTTCTCGAGTTCGAAATGATGATCCAAGTGAAATGAAATTTCGGTTAGCGAATAGAAATCAAAGCGCATACAAGTAACATTCAGAAGGGTCAGTACGGTTCAAATGGTAGGATTCTCCAGTATATTTGAAGCAGCTATGGAAAGTGGAACGAATTACGAATACGATTCAATTTAAATTATGGCATGTAGCAGCACGTAGCAGCCATTTCATTTGAATAAACGTGTATTTAACGTGTAATGGTTAACAGAATTCGAATGGTAGGATTTTTTAGTATATTTGAAGAAGGTATGGAAAATGGTGTTATGTCATTAAATTTAATTGAATTAGACGTGTATTAGACGTGTAAAGGTCGACATAGTTCGAGTGATAGGATTCTTCAGTATATTTGAAGCAGCTATGGAGAGTGGAACGTATTACGGATGCGTATCCAATTTAAATTATGGATAGCAATTTAATTTGAACGAAACATGTATTAAATACATAATGGTCAACACAGTTCGATTTTTTAATATATTTGAAGCAGTTATAAAAAGTGGATAAGAAATAATTTGTATTAAATATATAATGGTCAACAGAATTCGAGTGATAGGATTTTTTAGTATATTTGAAGCAGTTATAGAAAAAATGGATAAAAAATAATTTGTATTAAATACATAATGGTCAACACAATTCGAGTAGTAGGATTTTTTAGTATATTTGAAGAAACTAGAAAAGTGGAATTATATTATTAAATATTATTTGAATTAGACATGTAAAGGTCGACACAGTTCGAGTGATAATGGTCAACAGAATTCGAGTGATAGGATTTTTTACTATATTTGAAGCAGTTATAGAAAAATGGATAAAAATAATTTGTATTAAATAGTTAATGGTCAACACAATTCGAGTAGTAGGATTTTTTAGTATATTTGAAGAAACTAGGAAAATAGAATTATATTATTAAATATTTGAATTAAATGTGAATTAGACATGTAAAGGTCAACACAGTTCGAGTGATAGGATTCTTCAGTATATTTGAAGCAGCTATGGAGAGTGGAACGAATTACGGATGCGTATCCAATTTAAATTATGGATAGCAATTTAATTTGAATGAAACATGTATTAAATACATAATGGTCAACACAGTTCGATTTTTTGGTATATTTGAAGCAGTTATAAAAAGTGGATAAAAAATAATTTGTATTAAATATATAATGGTCAACAGAATTCGAGTGATAGAATTTTTTAGTATATTTGAAGCAGTTATAGAAAAAATGGATAAAAATAATTTGTATTAAATACATAATGGTCAATACAATTCGAGTAGTAGGATTTTTTAGTATATTTGAAGAAACTAGGAAAATAGAATTATATTATTAAATATTTGAATTAAATGTGAATTAAACATGTAAAGGTCAACACAGTTCGAGTGAGTCGAGGATTCTTCAGTATATTTGAAGCAGCTATGGAGAGTGGAACGAATTACGAATGCGTATCCAATTTAAATTATGGATAGCAATTTAATTTGAATAGCTATTTAATTTGAATTAAATATATATTAAATACATAATGGTCAACACAATTCGAATAATAGGATTTTTTAGTATATTTAACGCAGTTATAGAAAGTGGAGTTATATTATTAAATATTATTTGAATTAAACGTGTATTAGACGTGTAAAGGTCAGCACAGTTCGAGTGATAGGATTCTTCAGTATATTCGAAGCAGCTATGGATAGCGGGACGAATTACGGATCCGTATCCAATTTAGATTATGGGCGTGCACGAATGTAGCAGCACGTGGCGGTCATTCAATTTGAATTAGCTGGACACGAATGCGATTGTATCAGCTGTGATTGTTTTAAAATTATTTGCAGATCGGATTTGTGCATTAAAGAAGGAAAGATAACGGAAGTGATTGCTTACGAATTCGTGAGAAGATATTTTTCTAACGATATGATAGATATGGTAAAATTTCTTTACGATTTATGTGTGGAGAAAGCACGAAAAAAGATCGTGAGATGAAATTTTTAAATTTTGATTAATTAGACGATGAATGCGTTGAACGATATAGAAGAGGAAATGAAAATGGATATAGAAGAATCGAATTGGGCGAGCGAGGAGATAAAAGGTTTCGCTTTGAGAAAAATTAAATCCATAAAGAAGAATATTGGTTATCCGGATTGGTACAACAACGCATCCATCATGGAAAATTATTTTGGCAATGTATGTCAGATTCCTTTATTGGTAAATATGTTGGAAATTTTTTAAAAATCTTGAAGATTTATGATTTAATTTTTTTTGCTTGCAGCTTACTATGGGACCGATGTATTTCGAAAATGCTTTGAGATTTCAGAAATTTTATAAATTAAAGGAATTGCGACTTTTGAAATATAAAGATGTAGCAAAATCGTAAATATCCGTATAATAATTAATTATGATTAAGATTAAATCAAGATGCTTATTTTCTTTTTTTGTCTAGATGGATTATTGATCCTTTGACGATCAATGCTTTTTATTTAAGCGAATCGAATTCGATCAGTAAGTATCATTCAATTTTTATAATTTACATATATAGTGTAATTAAATTATACTAATATTTTTATTTTTATAATTACAGCAATACCCCTGGCCAATCTACAGAAACCATTTTTCAGCAAGAATCAGCCAAAGTAAAAATCTGTTAAAATTATTAATTACTATTTCATGCGATTATTAATCGTTTAATTGCAATACTTCTTCTCCAGTACGATCAACTATGCATTGACTGGATTTTTACTGGCTCATGAATTATATCATTCCTTTGATGAACTAAGTGAGTAATTTTTCATTAAATTTCTTGTTTAATATCTCGTTACATCGAAAATATTTTCAGAACGTTTTTTTAATGAATACGGAGAAAAGATAAATTGGCCAAAAACAATGACAAACGAATATTATAAAAGTGCTCAATGTTTTGTCGACCAGTATAATAATTATACTTTGAATGGCACATCTTCTGGCATAAAAATTAACGTAATATTTTATATTCCATCGATAAGAGATTTTTAAGGGGCTATCATTGACACGTTAATTATCTAACAGAATTATGGCAATCAAACTTTTGATGAAAATATGCCAGACACTATGGGATTGAGAACTGCATACAAAGCGTATAAAAGAAGGGAAACGATAAATGGGAGATCGGAAGCAGCATTGCCCGGATTGGAAATGTTCAACAACGATCAAATTTTCTTCTTATCGTCTGCCAATGTAAGTATTTCAATTGAAATAAAACTTTTTCATAAAATCGATTTCTATAATTTTAATAACTGTAACGTTTCGCTTTTTATTCTATCTTATTTATCTTCTCTTTTTTTTCTGTTTTTTCCTTAGTTATGGTGCGAAAATAGAGATTCCGAAACGGAAGCAATAACGGAAGCTAAATTAGACGTGCACAGTATCGCACGATTAAGATCCATTGGCGCCCTTTCAAACAATCAAGATTTTGCGGATGCATTTTCGTGCCCCATTGGCAGTCCTATGAATCGTAAAAAGAAGTGCAACATTTGGAAAATATAACAGCAATACTTATTGAATTTATATATATAAGAATTCATATCTTATATATTTGCGTGGGGTCACTGAACGCATCCCTACTTCGATTCTATTGCCTTCCTCCCCACCCCTTTTGGAACCACCGCGCTATACCCTTGCGACGCGAACTCAGCGTAGTAGACCAGAGGCATCGGCACGACCCACATCTACTTAACGTGGTTTATTCTTATTTTTATTGTTAATTATATTCTTTCGTATATTTTTTATTATTAATTAAATCAAATAACAATCTATTACTTATGCTATCAAAAATGATTTATTAATCAATTCGAGAAATATGATAAAACAGAAGATGAAAAGAATAGAAATTTATCATAGGAAGATTGTTATTTGATTTACGTCGCAAAAAGATTGTAATTAAAAAATTGTAATTAAAATTTACATTATATATATATATGATTTATGTGTAATTTAATAAATACTTTTATAAGTTTTTTTTAGATAATGTAATATTCTAATATTGTAATATTGTATACTTTGTAAATGTAAATTAATTTTAATATTTAATAAACGTATATATTATATATATATTTTTTATTTATTCATTTTTTCCCTTTATTTCTCCCTTCCTAATAATATAACAATCTAGAAGCCTATCTTAAAAAGGTAAGTATATTAAATTAATAGTAGTTATAATTAGTATTAAGTAAAATGATGAAAAACAGTTTTTTCTGGAAGTGTTAAAAAGGTAAGTATAAAAAAAGTAAGTATGAAAAAAGTAAGTATAGAAATATAATGAAATTTTACGCGTAAATTAATTCTAAGTTCAATAAATGGAAATATTAAAATTTCAGTAATTCTCGGAAATGACGTCAAATTCCGGGAATTTTTAAAATTCTCGGAAATGACGTCAAATTCCTGGAATTTTTAAAATTCTTGGAAATGACGTCAAATTCTTAGAATTATCGAAATTTATGAAATAGATTGAAATTTTTGGCCAAAAATTCGATTTTGTATTAGGAGAACATAACTTGATAGGAGGTCGATCAAA